AGGCTATCTAGCCATTCTATATTTAAGTATAAAGTGCGCTGGTGCCATTAATAATAGTAGTAATAATAGTAATATAGACTGGTTTATAGAATATAAGTAATTTACTAGCTAGATAGTGCTCCTAACCCTGCCCCCCTACTATCTATTATAACCTAAGGTGTTTATTAGCCTTTTCTAGCTTAGCTACCTTATACTAAGGGATGCATTCTAGGCACTCCCTCTAATTATATATATAATCTACCTATAATATAATATAGGTGACCCTATTAATAGGGCTAATGCATAAGGGGCCCTTATAGATAATAATATCCCTGTCCTATAGATTATAATAATTAATCTATAGTACTTACTATGATTACGCGAAGACTATAATATATATTTTATAAAGCTTCTATCTAAGATGAAGAAGGGATGTGGTAGCTTAGTAGAGAAGGTATATAGTATAGATAGCCTAGGTAGTAATAGTATAGATTATCTTAACTAGTGCATTATGCACCTCCTCTATTACTTATCCTTTAGTATAATGCTTAATAAGTACTACTAGTAAGCTAATGATTAATCTAATATAATAGTAATAGCTATTAGTAAGAGTATTAAATATAGTAATTATAGCTTCTCTGATTTCTAGTAGCAGATAAGTAAAGGTGCCTAAAATATAATACTAATAAACTAGCTAGGGGAGGTATATTATCTTATAGTAGATATAGTAAAGTTATACTATCTACTATATATCTTTTATTAAGAAGGTCTCTTTGCTACTAGGGATGTGCTAGTGCTATATTTTTTACTCTTTATCTATTAGTCTATAGTTATATAGCTGGTTAAAATATTCCTAGATACTATTAGTATAAAATACCTTACCATCTAGGCCTCTATGAATGACGCCACCTAACAGGATATAACTAAATAGTTTACTTAAGCTAATAGTAACTACTACATACTGCTGATATCTTACTAGTGTGGGGTATATAGCCTAAACCTATATATCTAGTATAGTTAAGTAGTGCTTCTAGAGCCCCTATATAATCTAAACACCCTGTTCTAGGTGGTGGGGTGGGTCCACTGCCTAGGATAGGGTGTGCTATAGAAGGCCTGGATACTATTCTAGGAGTATATAATCTTAAGATAGGTAGAGTATAATAATATGGTGAAGGCCCTCCCTTAGCTAGCTATATCCCTTTATGACCTTCTTAAGCCCCTAGTAATGGCAGTGGTGATAATAGATGTAGATGAGGCTGATGAGGATGCATATAAGGCTGATAAGGATGCACAGGAGGCCAGGAAGGCTAGGGTTATTTAGTAGGTAGTGGAGGATTGCCTCCTCTATATACTTAGCTAGCAAGCCAGTCAGCTTAGTATTAATGACCTAGGTGACCTTGGTCTCCCATAGTGAGATATTAACTATATATAGGTGAAGTTAACTCCTAAAGACTGCACCTAGGAAAGGGTTAGGCAGGCCTTACTAAGTAAGGGCCCTGCCTAGTAGAGGCATGATAAGGCTATAGTAGCTACTAAGGTAAAGTACTCCTATCCCCTCCTCTATCTATCATCCTCCCCTCTCTTTAGGCACTTTTTAGTCATAGCTAAGACTAGTGGGTACTTAGCTAGGACTAAAAACCCTAGTCTATCTCTAGGCTTAAGGCTAATAGTTAGGATAGTTTAAGTTAGATAAATATATGCAGTCTGACAGTGAGGAGGATGATAGTAGAAGCTAAAGTAGATCTAATTCTTCTAGGTGCGACCACTCCTGCTATCCTAATAATAATAATAATAATAATAATAATAATAATGGTAACAGCCCTAGTAGCAGGGGTAGTCAGCCTAGCTTAAGTAATAGTGATGGTAGTGACCAGCATAATAATAATAATGATGGCGATGGCCCTAGTAGTAGTAGTCATCATCTAGTATGGGTGGACCTAAGCCTAGAGGAATATAAAGCCATACTAAGGTACTTAAAGAAGGTCTAAGTCACCACCTAGGATAAGGAGATAGAGGTATTATTATAGTTAGACTTAGTATGCCTCCTTAAACCCTTCCCCCTTTATATAGATTTAGGCTCTAATAGTGGATTTCCAGGGTTAGGCAATATAACTAAGATCTCTACTCTAGATAAGCTAGGGGGTTATTCTAAGCATATCATTACTAAGCTAGTTAAATCTAAATCTACTAGTATTATCTAGAGAGATATTACTACTAAGCTCCCTGCTAAGCTCCCCTAGTAGTCTAAATAGGCCTTACTATCTATCACCTTTCCTCTACTAGACTAATACTCCTCCTAGCTAGTCTAGCCCTAGAATACCTCCCTAAGTTACTATACCACTACCTAGCCAGCAGGGTTAGCAGGGGACTTAATAGAAATATAAAGTACTATCTAGTAAGTTCTCTTCTCTCTTTTTCTTTACTTTCTACCCATGCACTACTCTCCCTAGCTAGAACTAATAATGCTATAGTACTAATAGTAGTAGCTAAGCACCCTAGGCGCTAGTGAAAGCCTACTTAGTATAAGTTCTGATTAGGGGCGCGGCCCTTACTTTTTAGCTAGGGCTAAAAGGGCTATAAATCACTCTATATAGCTTTTTACCCTGTTTTATCTTTATTAGTTAATAATACTACCACTATAGAAGCATTAGGGGCCTTTTATATAGCTTTTTTCTTACCTCTAGTTTTATCTTTATTAGTTAACTATACTACACACTACCACCTTAGATAAGAGGCATTAGGGGCCTTCTACATGGCTTTTTTTCTTACTCCTAGTTTTAACTACACTACTATACTATAGGAGCATTAGGGGCCTTCTATATAGCTTTCTTCTTATCTCTATTTTATCTTTAGTAACTATACTACCACTACCCCACTATAGATAGAAGTATTAGGGCCCTTCTATATAGCTTTTTTTCTCCCCCCTCTTTTATCTTTATTGACTATACTACCACTATAGGAGCCTTAGTAGCCTTTTTATATAGCCTTTATCTACTATATTCTTTATTACTTAACTATCTTATAACTATAAGACTTTATAGACTAACTACTAGTCTTTTTCTTTCTTTCTCTTAGTGCTATTAGCCTCAGGGCTTTAGTTATTAATAAGCACATATAAATAATAAGGAGATAGATGGTAATAATTTTTAGAATATAGTATAAATACCCTAATTTATTATTTCTTATTTCTCTCTCTCTAGATAGATCTTCACTTTTATAGGCAGAGCCTAGTTTATTATAAAGAAATATTTACTACCAGCCCTTAAATAGTTAACTTATGCGCCCTATAGTAGGGGGTTATAGAATGAAAATTTATTAATAATATTAATCTTTAGAAATATATATTTCTATACTCTCCCCCTATAGTAGAAGCACTAGCTTTAAATAAAATATGAGTAAGATCCCCCTTAACTATATTATACCTTGCATATCTTATAATTTAATTAGCTAGGTTCTTCCTCTACTATGATAATCCTAATCATACTTAAATACTTAATTATTATATTCTATGTAGGAGTAGATAGTGGATTAACTTAATAGATAGCTTTACCTAAGGCGCGACCATAGGATACTAGGCTATAGAAGAGAGATATCTATAATTACTTTAGCCACTGTCCCCCTTGATTAGAGATATAATTTTAAGGGCATACTATAACTTAACTTTAGGAGGATTAACTCTCYRGAGGGAGATRGGAYAAATAACTAGGAAGTAAACTATACTAGAGAATRGAATRTRATTTAATATAGGATAGATYACTAGGATAAGGAGTTAATTAACTATTATTATAAATTATAAATTATAAATTATAGATAACTATAAAACCTCTTATAGATATTTAACTCTAACACACATACATATAGTAATAGTAATAGTATTAAGACTTAATTAAAATTAAACCTCTACTATATAATAGTTAGTGGCTTGGGGAGAGTCAGCAGAGGGGAAAAGAAAAATAAATAAAAAAAAAAAAAGTTTAGGGGGAAATATAGACTCTAGGAGTAAGATATAGACTCCACTAAGGTAGGACAGTGGGGACCTATAGACTCTAGAGTAGATAGGAATCAATATAGACTCTGCACTCACTAGACCTTATGGTCACCTGTAATTAGTATGGCAAATGTGGACTCCGCGCACGATACCATTACTAGGCTAGACCCTAACTTAGCCTCTAGTAGGGTCCTCCGCCCCCTGTAGGATAGATAATGATTAGTGGCTGGTTAAGCTGGATGAATAGCTGCTATTCTATTCTTTATGGATGGTTCAGATGAATATAATACTATTTAACTAACTATCTAAATAATGATGGGATTTGGCCCCTGAATTTCTTTATAGGCATTGCTTTTTCTATCTATAGGGACTTAAACCATACTAGATCTAGGGATAGAATATACCTCATTATAGCTATAAATTATTAATTTTAATACTGAAATTTGGGTACATAGCTTAGGACTAGTATATTAGTAAACTAGCTAAATTTAAACTGCCTATAACCACCTCTGCAGCCATGGGTTGTTTATAGGTAGTGCTATTCTAATCTATACTATTCAGTGGGAATGAACCATATTAAAATTCTATATATAAACCACACCCTCACTATATTTACAAATCATTGAATTCCCTATTGAAATTTGGTCAGACCATGCAGAATTAGCCAACCAGTAAGCTGTCTGAATTTAAAATATGTATAACCCTATCTAGCACCACAACCCTACCCTCTAGTTTAAAAGTTAGACCCTTCTCTGCTAAGCCCCCTGCTATCCTCCTTCAGGCCAGACCCTAACTCAGCCTCTAGTAGGGTCCTCCGCCCCCTGTGGGATAGGCAGTGCTATTCTAATCTATACTATTCAGCGGGAATGAACCACATCAAAATTCTGCATATGAACCACACCCTCACCACATCCGCAAATCATCGAATTCCCTATTGAAATTTGGTCAGATCATGCGGAATTAGCCAACCAGTAAGCTGTCTGAATTTGAAATGTGTATGACCCCATCTGGCGCCACGACCCTACCCTCTAGTTCAAAAGTCGGACCCTTCTCTGCCAAGCCCCCCGCTATCCTCCTTCAGGCTAGACCCTAACTCGGCCTCTAGTAGGGTCCTCCGCCCCCTGTGGGATAGGGTGGATGGGGGGTCATCGCTGCCATATCCCTCATCAATCTCCCCAAGTTGATCATCCGCGCTGGCCAGCACCCATTTGGCGCTCTGGTCCTTCCGCGCCCAGGTCTGAATGATCTGCCATGGATTGGGGTCCATCCATAACGCCTTCTGCACCACCATGAATCGGGCCACCTTGATCACGCGGGATAATATTAGGGGGTAGCTCTCGGGGTCCCGCCAGCCAGCCTCACCCTGACCCAGTACTGCCATGGCACATACTAATGCACTCTCATATTCATGGCTGCGATGGCGCTGGTTGAGCAGCTCAATGCAAAATTCTAAGCATGCTTTCTTAATGTCAGTCATGGCCCACACCTCTAGGTTCTCCAGGTCCCCTGAAACTGCGCCCTGGCTGCCCTGGGGGTCGGCGCTACCTGGGGCGTGGCTAGTGAGCTGCCACAGCTGCCGCCATTTCTGGCGCTGCCGGGCGGTCATCCCGTATTTCGGGCTGGCCCAGTCATGCGGGGCCTGCGTGCGGGCAATGAATGCTAATATCTGCTGCCATGGATGGACATGCTTCTGGATCGCGGCCTCATCCATGTATGCCAGCAGCGGCCGGTATGGGGTCTGCCCCTTTTCCGACCGGACGGCTTCCACCCGGATGGCCTGGCCGCAATGCTGGACTGTCTGCTGGCTCTTACGGGCCACCTGCTCCATGGTATCCCAGATCACCTGCACCCCCTGCTCCGTGGCACCCATAGCATCTTCCTCCGGGGCTGCCATGCAGGCTAGCAAGTCATGGGCCTGGATGCCCTGCAGATACTCCGCCCACCGAGTCATCCGCAGCTAGGGGTTTGCATCGGTGAGCTCGCTGGCCTGGATGGCCTGATCTGCCTTGGCCCGGGCCTGGGTCTGCTCCCAGGCCTGCACCACCTCATCTACTGCTGCCTGCACGCCCTGGGTCAATGGGGGTGGCTGTCCATCTGGATAGCGGATATGGATATAGTGGGACCCTGGACCACTAGGGAACACCTGCTGCCATGAGACATATTGAAATGACTGCTGTAGCTCTGCCTCACCCCTAGCCTTCTCCTTTAGGCCTACCCGCCCGCGATGGCTCTGCTGGGACCACTAGTGAACTATTCGCCAGTGCTTTCGCATAGATTTCATAGTAGAGGCAATGAATAAGCATAGTGGATCTCGCTGGCAGAGCAAGCCATTTGATTGATATGGTAATATAGGCAGTGGCTGATCTAATTCATATAGTATGCAGATTGCACTACTCTCATACTGAATATCATGCCATTGAGATATTGCCTGGATGATCTGGCTAGTAACTACATGCTTTAGGTGATGCTTCTTCTTAAGATGCTGATCCACCTCTGCTAGTCGCACCCCCTGCTGGCATTGATGGCAAATGAGTATGCCTAGGGTCGGCACCTGACAAAATAACTGGTTTTCCATAATAACTATGGATGAATATGGATGGATTAAATGAATTTAAATGACTATTTATGAATTCTAAGAGATGGGAATACCTCTACCCCTGAATCTAATGCAGGTGCGGGTGATACCCCAACAAAATTATAGAGGTTGAATAAGGTAATTTTATAACCATACCATACCTTCAAGAATGAATTAATAGACCTTAAATTTGACTAGTGAAAAGATAAATAGCTACTCTATATAAGGAAAAAATCTGAGCATTATTAGCCTATTATTACTAAATGCACCATGCCACTAAGTGTGTAAACCCACTATGCGCGGACTTGGGGTTTGCCAAGCAATCAGTAGCTACACACCCTAAACACACCATGACCATGGTGCTCCACCCCTTGTGGGATAGGGTGTCTGCAGGGTGGGTAACCTGGCTAGTCTCAGCCAGGCAGACGGCCTGCAGGGCCACCAGCATCTGGGCTATCTTGACCAGGCCGGACAGGTAGCTGGTGTACCCATAGGGGTCCCGGAAGGTTTGGCGCGCGGGGTCCACCCCCAGGACCGCCAGGAAGCCAACCAAGGTGCTGTTAAAAAGGTCTCCCTTTAGGGGATGGTCCAGCAGGGCAATTAAGAGGGTGAGACAGGCCTGGTCTAGCTATTTTTGCACCTTTCCTTGCAGCACTGGCTGGTGCTGGCCCTGCAGATCTAGCAGCTGCTGAGCATGCTCCTCCATCTGATCCAGGGCAGCTAGCTGGGCGGTGTTAAGCTGGTGGCGCAACTGGATGGGTTGATCCAGCCAGGTGCTGCGGTAGGTGAAGCAGACTAGTTGCTGCCATACCTGACAGTATTAATGGTAGGTAGCCGGCCGCAGATGGATCTGGATGGGCCGGTTCCACACATTAGGCTTGCGAAAGAAGGTGTTGATCTGGATCTAGTTAAACTCATTTAGATGGCCATCCTTGATCACCTGGTAGGCCTGGTTAATCAACTACTTAATACTGGTGCTGAACTGTATGAGAACAAGCTCCCTGGTAGGATTAGGTAGGCATTCTAGTAATGCTACTGCAGCCAGGTCCTGTCCCTGCAGGTACTCTGGCTAGCGGGTCAGCTTGAGCCAGGGGGACACAGCTGTAGGGTGAGGATTAATTACTAGCACCTGGCTATTCTTAATCTCTACCACAGCCTCCCCCTCCCGCAGTGCCTAGTCCACACAGGCGCGGATCTGCTCTGCCGCGGTCATTGGGACGCTGGCCTATAGTGCCTGCTTGCTGGGAGGTGTGGCAGCATAGGTGACCTCAAAGAACCAACTCCCATGCTTGCTAGGGAAGAAGTGCTGGTAGGAGACAGTATGAGCAGCAAGATAGCAGCTGGCCTTTGCCTGCTACTGTGACTGCTGCCCACAGCCACAGGGAGGCTCCAGGTCTTTATGGGTCTCCTAGCAGTGCTTCTGCATAGTCTTAGTGGTGCGAGCAACATAGGAGCAATGGGGGCAGCCATGGCCCTGGTAGACTGGTAGCCCTGGGACTGGTAGGTCTCCTGGGGATGGGATCACACAGGGTCTCTTAGTGGGATTAATCTATGGGTGCTTCAGCATCTCTATCAAGACTGCCTCACGCAGGGCCAGGGTGGCCATGGTCAGGTGTGAGCAGTGATGGATACAGAGGTGGGTGAGCAGGGTCTATGATGAGATAGTATACTGGCACTAACGTGCTGTGCAAATCCAGACCTCATAGGTTGGATTATAGATAAAGAGGTCTATATTATGCTACTGATCAAGTGCAGGATTAGAATTAATGAAAGGAAAATGGCATTCTTAGGAAGGAATAAAATAAAGAGGAAGAAGAAGTAGATGGATGATTACATAGCATTAATTATAGGAGGCCGCGACACTAACCGTAATATACAGTAAGGTGGTTGCGACGCGGCAACAGGGGAGGAAAAAGAAGCAATTATGTCTTCCTTAGTGATGTATCTGAAATGAAGTTGGTCTACGGAGTATTATCTATGTAGGCATATATGAAGCTATTAGGGCAGAACGCAGGCAGGCAGGTGGGCAGGCGGTGAGGGAAAACCAAAACCAATATTGCCCACGTCGCCCACCCCACCAACCAACCGACCAATCAGGGGCGGAGAAACCCGACTGTACGTTGGGTGGTTCATGGCCTAGGGACTAGGGTTGCTACCCCCCTGTAGGATAGGATTAACTCTCCAGAGGGAGATGGGATAAATAACTAGGAAGTAAACTATACTAGAGAATGGAATGTAATTTAATATAGGATAGATCACCAAGATAAGGAGTTGATTAACTATTATTGTGAATTATGAATTATAAATTATAGATAACTGTGAAACCTCTTATAGATATTTAACTCTAACACACATACATATAGTAATAGTAATAGTATTAAGACTTAATTAAAATTAAACCTCCATCACATGATGGTTAGTGGCTCGGGGAGAGTCAGCAGAGGGGAAAAGAAAAACAGATAAAAAAAAAAAAAAGTTTAGGGGGAACATGGACTCTAGGAGTAAGACATGGACTCTGCCAAGGCAGGACAGTGGGGACCTGTGGACTCTGGAGTGGACAGGAATTAACGTGGACTCTGCGCTCACTAGACCTTATGGTCACCCGTAATTAGTATGGCAAACGTGGACTCCGCGCACGATACCGTTACTAGGGCACTGTCAAGCGGAACTTTGTCAGTAACCATCCATTGCAATGAGGACTTCTTGACATATCAACGCAGCACTGAATCCGGGGAACGTGAGTCTTCTACTCATCTTGACTTCGGATAGCGCTGATGAGAACTGACATCACGAAAAATGTACAGGTGTGTACAGGGACACTCGGGGGCACGAAGAGGCGAGCACCGATCTATTCCTCCACGCTGCGGTCAGGGCGTGCCACGAGTCCCCAGAAGCTCACGGCTGGAGTTTCAGGAACACAGTAACCTCCAAAGACGAGATTTGCATCTGCCCGGGAGAATTCACTAGAACGCAGACGGCAAAGCTGACAGACATAGCCAATGATCCATCTGTTTTGAAGGGAAAGAGCCTTAATGAGCTGAAATACCGTGTCGTCGCTGGAACACTCCTTCATGAACTAACCCACTGCGAGCAGATCCTTGGCAGTGACAAAACAGGTTCATCACGTCATGCAACTGATCTTGTAGTATCTAGCGCTGACGCATCTTCTTCAGGTGACCAACGGTTTGAATTGACTAGGGGCCAGGTGCGGCCGGCGTACAAGGTAGGGGGTGTTAGGGGCCTGGCTGCTGCGAACCGGGATCTTGAACTCACTTTAAAAAATGCTGGTAAGTCTATTGGATCACAGATATTTCACACAGAGGCCAGTATGTCCACTGATAGCAGTAGATACCCTCACGTTCTTTGCTCTAGGTTTGTCAACCCCGAAAATTGCCCTTGGCACGTCTGTATGCTAATTTATAGTACCCGCCCAGCCATGTATTACTCCAGATGTGACTGGTCACTGGGCGAGTGCGGTAAGGTAGTCGACAAGCGCTACATGAAGCCTGACGGATCATATGTTGTGTTTGAATATTAAGGGCGCTAGGTCAAGATGAAGAGAAGATACCCTTGGAAGAAACTATCATGTACTTTTTTTTTTCCTGGACCCCTGTACTGGCTAGCTAAAATGGAGACACCCATACGGCGGGCCGAATGTACAAATGGGCAAAATGAACTATTCTACACATACCCCACACCCCCTCACACCTAGAACACTGGGTGCTGCCTAAAATACCTTTCTGTACTTTTTTTCCCCAATGAAAAGGGATACGAAATACTCGAGATAGTAGGATGTTGGACACTCACATAGCCAGGGCATCAAATACTAGCATTGTCATGAAGCGACAGAATTGCAATCACTTATCACCTGCCCTTCCACTAAATAGGAGAAATAAACACATCAGGGAAAACAGGGGTTCATTTAATCATACAAGACATACTTCTCTTAGTGAACTTATAATTCTCCTAAATTTCTCCTAAACCATGGTTATAAGTAATGGTATTCATTTTGCCCGTTTTGTACATCCGCCGTAGCCCGCGCTTTTATTAGTTTATGTCATGTTGCATGGACGGTGCAAGTGAAACTCCGACGCTTCCCCTCCCTGGATATATATGGACTTGACTGTTCCTCTTGTTGCATATGCCCGTGGATACTTTTAACAATTTCTACGACATTGAGAAGGAGACTTGGAAACCTTGAGATCTATGGCTCAGCTAGACCGATTGCCGATCGAAGTGCTCCTTCTGATCGCAAAGTCCTTACCCAGCCAGAGTGACATTAATGCTTTAATGCAGACCAACCGAAATCTCTATCACCAATTGCATTTCTTTCTATGTCAATATAATGTCCAGCATTATCAAGGATCAGCCTTATTATGGGCTGCTCAAAAGGGATATATCCATTTAGCAACAAACCTGCTGCATGCTGGCGCAAACATTGCACACTTTGAAAGCCCGGCAGAAACACAATATGTCTCTGAATATGATATCGTGAAAATTGAAAATCCGCTCTTATTTGCCGCCCAGGGTAGGCATATGGCAGTCCTCAAGTCCATGCTTTCTGAAACACGGTCAGGCCAAGCATGCTCACCAGCTCAGCTGCGCACTGTTCTCCATTGGGCCATCCAGTCCCGCGACAGTGATCTTGTGGATCTCATGATCCACCACAAGGCCCCATTGGATCCAGCAAGAGATGATATGAATGCGCTCTCTGCCCTGGGAGTTGCTGTTATCTCACAAGATATCTCCATTGTCCTGCGTCTGCTTGATGCAGGAGCGCAGCCAGGTCAGGATGAAGACCCATGTCCCATTACGACGGCTATAGAAACTGGTCAACTACAAGTTATTGAACTTCTTATTAAGCATGGTATTCGACTCAATAGTGATACAGGACTATGCTTTATAGCACGTCAAAATGACAAGGTCCTACTCCAACGTTTCATCGATTATGGATTGGATCTGAGCTTGGACGGCCACACAGCACTGTTCACTGCCATAATGCATGGCCAGTATAGGATGGTCGAATTTCTCATTGAAAAGGGTGCGAACCCACACCTAATGTGCGAATTATGGCTGCAAGATGGGGATTGCTTTACAGACACTCTCCTTTATAGCTCCATAGGGTTTGCTATACATTTTCGGCACCTGCAAATCTTAAAGCTCCTACTAGCGAAGGGTGTCCTCCCAGCGCAGGATGATTTACGCTTAGCGGTAAAGAAGGAGTTCGAAGAGGCAGTGGCACTTCTATCCAAATTCTCCAACCAAGAATTACCACCGAAGCAGACCATAGAGGGATATATACGTTGGCAACATTATCTTGAACGTTATAAGGGTGTTGACTTCAAGCTCCGGCATCAATGGTTTTTCGTTGTCGATTCTACCTCAACTGAAGAGTCTGAGAAGCCGTCCAGTTCTTGAGACATGCTTGTACAATATTAGAAGAGTAGCATTATTTCTGCTGGTAAAATACCGAGTTTGAATTTTCTTACTTCTAAAAGTGCTGGGATTGTTTCATCGAGTCACCACACGAATTGTGAACCAGCCAAAGTTTTTGCGATAGGAATTAGTACTATATCGCAAGTAGTGGAAAGCTCCTTACGGGCAAACATTTGAACATAGAACGAGATTGACCGAACTTGGACGTCGGCTCTATCCTGGGTGTTTCACCGGGGTTGTCCCATCAGCATTTCAGTATTCCCTGCCAAGCATTAATAAATGATCTTGTCCCTTCGCCTGAGAGACAAGAGTGGGTCGCTCCTCTCCTACTAGGGCAGTATCTAAATGAGTACATTTTCCTAAATGGGTTCTCGCGCGCCTTACGCACCATAACAGCTAAAACAGAGCCTCGTTTAGTCCTGCGTATAGCTGTAATCCAAGGCTTAATTTACAAGTACTGGCAACTTCGACTTTGCTTTGTTCTCTTCTGTCCATATGTGATGTTGGATCTACGATTGTCCTCAGAGCCAAGACTGCGGCGATTAGTTCGACGTTGGTTCAATATCCTGTAGCGGGCAATGGCTTGGTCAATCACAATCTACTTACAATCAGTGTTGAGTGGAAAATGAGAACTGGCCCCTCAATTCTCCGTACCTATTACGTATTGCACCTCGGACTGTTGACCATAGTGGGTGTAGGAAGACCCACCGATCAGAAGCAACGATGCAACCTTAATTGTCCTGGTTCGGGCCGCATCCTCCCGGCCCCAGTCATTGTTGATCAACTTTGAGCATGACAAGCAGCAAAGCTCAGACTCTAGCCCTTGCTTATTCTATTCGGATCCGAGGATCTATTCCTGCTTCCCATGTGATTCAGTATGAAACCGCGATGTAGGAGTCGCAATCGGTGCAGGGATTGTTAGTGTATGGTAGTAGAATGTCTAGCCCTTAGGCTCAACAATGGAGAATATCTTAGGGGATATACAAGTGGCTGGTATTTCTAATAAGAATACTAGTTCAATCTAGTCTACTTACATGCACGAACTCATTCGACATAACTACAGTAAACCCCGGATATAAGTAACTATTAGGGACGGCCGCTTTTGCTTCAATATATCGAAATTCCCTATATTACATTCTTTAGCAACCAAAACTGGAAATATATATTTCTCTACTCTAGCAGTGCGTAGACAGTATTAGACACTATATCTTGAGTTTCCTCCCTAAAATCATCCTTTTATGCGATGTAAGATACTATATAAAAGCCTTCGAGAGGTACTTCGTAGAGGTGACTATAATTTACCACTTATGTAACCCTGTATTACCTTATAAAAATACTCTGAAGGTGGTCTAGGTAGGCGGGGTAGTGGTGTGCACACATAAAAAATTACCCTAATATAAGTGATTTTGTATGGGAGGAATGATTTTTTGGAAGCAAGAAACCGTATATATGAGTATTAAGCAATTATTATGAAAATTTAATTCAGACATGGTGACCATTTAGTAACGTAATCAGACACCGAGCGAGCCATGACACCGAGCGAGCCACTGCCTCACCCCCTGAATCTTACAACACACCAAATCATCATCAAGTTTAATTCTTCATCAAATATGGCCTCAAAACAAGCAGATTTAACTAATAAATTAGAAGATCGCATATCCATTGCAATTAAAGTATTTAAAAATAGCTAGTTTAAAAGCATATAAGCTGCAGCTGCTGCATATGATGTCCCATGCTCTACCCTTACCCATTAAATTAGTGGTCATAAAGCATGGACTGATATACCAGCAAACTGCCTGAAGCTTAGCAGGCTAGAAGAATCATCACTAAAGAAGTGGATTCTAGATATGGATGAGCGTGGCCTACCACTAACACATGCCATAGTACGCAAAATGGTGAATCTGCTACTGCATGAGTGAGAGGGGGAACTAGTCAGTGAGAGATAGATTACTAGATTTATCAAACAGCATAATGATATTATATCAAAATATACTCACAAATATGACTACCAGCGCGCCAAATGTGAGGATCTAGAGGTTATCAGTTAATGGTTTAGTCTGGTTCAGAATACCATAGTAAAATATAGTATAACCGAGCAGGATATCTATAATTTTGATGAAACTAACTTCTAGATGGGTGTGGCCTATACAGCAAAGGTTATTACTGCATCCTGTCATTGAATAAGCCGCGTACGAGCTATACAACTAGGGAATCGCGAATGGGTCACTGTTATTAAATACATTAATACCTCTGGATGGTGTCTCCCCCCCATGATTATCTTCTCCGGCAAGGTCCATCAATCTCAATGGTATCAAGATATTGACCCTGATTGGCTGGTTGGCCTCAGCAATAATGGATGGATGAATAATGAGCTTAGTATATTCTGGTTAGAAAAGGTCTTTCAAAAGCATACTGCAGCACGTACTTAAGGGAGATATCAGCTTTTAATTCTTAATGGCCATGCTAGCCATGAATCTGCAGAGTTTAATCTTTTCTGCAAGGACCATTAAATCATCCCTCTTTATATGCCCTCTCATTCATCTGATAAACTGCAACCTCTTAATGTTGGCTGCTTTACACCCCTAAAGGAAGTATATAGAGCAGAGGTAATGAGAAGCATCCAACATGGCATACATTATATTAATAAGGAAAACTTTCTTAATCTTTATAAAGAGTCACGAAAGGCCTTATTATCTAGGAATATCTGCAGTGGGTTTGAAGCTTCTGGTTTAGTGCCTTTAAATCCACAAAGGGTACTAGATAAGCTTACTATTAAGAATATTACCCCTCCAACTACTGCACATGGACCTGGATCTATAGAGGGTGAATGGATTACAAAGACCCCTTATACTGCTGCAGAGGTGCAAAAGCAGATGCAGCATATAAAGCAACTTATCCAACGCAACTCTGAAAGCCCTCTAAATGAGGCACTTCGTCAGCTGGCAAAAGCAGCTGAATCTACCATGCATGAAGTCATTCTATTACAACACCAGATGGCGGAGCTTCGTGCAGTAAATGAAAAGCAAAAGCGAAAGCGCATGGCCCCTAGATCTTATATTGCTACTAGAGGGGTTCTAACAGGGGCTGAAGGCCAGTAGCGTGCTCAAGAAGCTATACAGATGATGGTAGGGGAACCAGTTCCTAAAAAGCGTGCACCACCACAATGCAGTAACTGCCATCAAATTGGGCATATTAGAACTAGCTGCCGTAGTAGATAATTTGATACTTTTATATATAAAGATGGTTTCATTTTGATTGCGTAGTAGTAATATCTCATGGTTTTCAACCGCGGCCGAAATCATATTTGGGTGGCTCGCTCGGTGTCGTGGCTCGCTCGGTGTCCGATTACGTTATATCCGAGTTGCTTACAAAGGGGGTTCACTGTACTACCACTCCTTGGTCTACCGGAAAGTGCCCCAATTAGTATACCTAGATCGCTCAGTTATGGCAATAGCCTCGGTCGAACTCTACCGGTGCGATGAACCATGAACCCCTGGGCGTGACTCAAGTGGGCACCAAAATATTGATCAGGCCATTGTAGATATATAAACATGAACGGAAGATTCAAGCGAATAGACGGCACCCTATCATTGAGCATTTTACAAGAAACTGGTCTCTTTTAACAACATGATCTTCTCTAAGTCTCTGGTCTTGGCGCTTTGGGGGTCGGCCAATGCTGCTACACTCGGAAGACGCTTCTCCAACGGAGATTCTGCCACTGGTGAAACAGACCCAAATGTGAGCAGCGGCTGTACCTACTGGGCCAACTCAATTCAGTCGACCGACACCTGTGCCGCACTAGAGAGCTATTTTGGCATCACAATTACGCAGCTAGTTTCCTGGGTAAGCAAGAAAAACTCCTTCGCCACGATTAAATTTAGAGAAGGGAATTCTAACAGTATAAATATTGCTAGAATCCCTCTCTGTCAGCCTCTGACTGCAAGCTAAATGTGGGATGGAGTTACTGCGTGGAGGCCCCAGCGGTCAAAACGACCTCTACAAAGACCACAACGACCACGGCCACCACGAAAACTACAACTAATGTGTTGACTATAACTACCACATCTGCATCAACCATCGTAGGGGGTGCTCCATCTCCAACTCAAAGTGGTCTAACCGCCTCCTGCGATGCCTTCTACAAGGTTCAACCTGGAAATTATTGCTACCAGATTATGACTACTTATGGCAACTTCACCTTGGATCAATTCTACCAGTGGAATCCGTACGTATAATATGCGAACCCCTGGAACTTGTGATTTTGGATAATGAGCACAGTAATTCGCTAATACTTTTTACATTTCAGCGCTGTCAAGGGCGACTGCTCAGGACTTCAAGCCGGCTATTATGTGTGTATTGGAGTCACTGGGTCTACTACTGCTGCAACAACAATAACTGCTGCTCCCACAGCCACAACAGGTACCACCACAAGCTCACAATACTCTCCTCAGCAGACCGGAATAAAAAAAGAGTGTATGTCTACAATTTTCTTCTATTCTTCTCTGGTCGATTGATCGCGCAAGTCTATCCTGCTGGGAGTCATAATAACAAATACTATAGGCAATGAGTACTACTTTGTACAGAAAGGTGACACCTGCGCCGGCATTGCTACTAAGTACAGTGTTTCTCTCGCGGACTTCTACATTTGGAACCCAGCTGTAGGTACGTCTTGCGAAACACTACTGGCTGGTTATTATGTTTGTGTTGGTATCTTTGGTATGTCACTAAACTCTTCCTCCTGCCCTCTCCATCCTGTACTAACACATCTGAAGGAACATCCATGACGACTGTAAAACCTACCACTACCACTGCTGTAGCAACAACAAATGGCCCATCTCCCACCCAGGCTTGGATCACCGCGGACTGTGAGGCCTACTATCAGGCAGTGTCCGGCGACAGCTGCTGGTCTATTGTCAACCAAAAGTATACCTACCTGACTTCTGATGAGTTCTACGCCTGGAATCCAGCTGTTGGATCATCGTGCG